ATTTTACATGAATAGAAGGAGAAGGGGATCACTAAGAGCTATCTTAGGAGCTGCCCACCATGGTCAAGAAAGTGTTCTCAGAGGATATTGAGGACTAAAAGTTCAGTTGATTCTGATCTACATTAGACTCAAGCTAAATCCCTGAGTGAATGTCATTCACTTCATCCTAATTCAGTCAGAGTTTAACATTATGCAGAGTGCAGCATGCCAGCTTCAAGCATGGCCTGCGAAATAGTGTAAATCTGTCTGCCCAGAAGTCATCTAGACCAAAATTAATTTCTTTTCAGAACTAAATTTTCATCTAACATGTCAGAAAAGTAAAACGATAATTGTAGGTAACCCATTTGTGTATAATATAATGAAAAGAAGGCAGCTTCTGTAATTTTCTGACCATGTTTAAAGATATGTCTCAAAGATGCCAGCTATTTGAACACAGGCAACTTCCTTACCTAGCAAAGGCTCATTCACAGTGCCACTATGAAGATTAAATAAGATTACCTATATGAAAGTATTTTGGTAACTGGAAAGTGCAATATGTAAATACAAATTTTATCACTACTTCCCTTAGCTAAAGATTGTTAAGAACAGCTACTTAGCATACTGTTTAACTATCTTATTAGAGCAATAAATATCTTAGAAATATGGATAATAAATGGACCATGTTTTTACCCCAAAGTACCACTTGTGCTGTTGATTTGCAATAGAGAGAGAGAAAAAAAAAGATTTTCAGGCAGTTCATTTCAAAGAGTCACTTGCGTTTTTAGAACTTGCTTGCCTTGACCACGTTTTGCAGAGATTTCAAGGTGAAGCAAAAGCTTTCAACAGTATTCGAACAATCTGACAACATGCACTTCCTTCAGCCATTTTCCTTCATTCCACACTGCCCACAGTTAAAATGTTCCTGTTGTATGCGACTTGAGAGAAAACATTTTCCCATTTCATGTAAGAACTACATGGAGTTTAGGCCCCTGATGGACCAGAAGAGTACATTATCTTTTCTTCTTTAGTGGCTCAGATTGAAATCTCATCTAATGTTTTCCCATTAGAAATGAGATGGTGAGATATTTTCTGGGAAGTGATTTAAGTATACTAAAACAATCTATAAGGATCTATTGATTAGAAGTAGACTTGACTCAAACATGATTTGTGTGCAGTGAAGTACCTTGGAAGGTGACGTGATTGACAGGCAATGAAGAACAGATTGAGCACTAGAATAGTTTTATTGTAGCTCTTTATGAGGTACATGGATAGAGTTAATCTGTGGAGAACAAAAATTGAGAAAGAAAAATAAGGAATTTAAAATACTGAAATACTGCACACTCTTGTGGTTTTGGTGACAAGTACAAATGAAAAAAACAAAAATTTTTTATACAGAGAGTTATAGGAGGAAGGAAATTCCAAGATATTTCTATGAACTTTGAAAATATTTCTATCCCTCATAAATGTGTATTGGTTGCCTTTAGATTATTCCTAATTAGTTTTAGTTAATCACATAGTTTTAAAAAATAACCAGCAGAAAATAATGTCATTATCCATTTAACTGAAATCAAACAACTAAAAAAACTGAATTTAACTGGCTTGCCCATAATCTTGTAATAGATCATGGTAGAGACCCCCAAATGATAAAATAATGATTTAAGAATTTCACAACTGAAATAATAAGGATAAAACATATACTAATATAATAAGTCAAACCCCAGCCAATTGGAGAAATGCAGAAATCTATTGAAAATTTTGCATTCGTTATACCCTTGCACACCACAAATTTTCTTGAACTCAAGCCATCATGTAAGCAACATTTAAAATAATATCATATTAGGTATCTCCAGATATATTTTGTCTCAGACAATGTTGAGACAAATATTTTACTTTTTCATAGAAGAAATAATCTGATAGCATTTAATTTATTCTCATAAATAAATAGCATTTTATTTATTTATAATTCTTGATACTTGTTAGAATTCCAAACTAATTATATGGTATTGAAATAAATAGAAATTCAGTTATATTAATAAATTATAAATTTGAAACAACTAAATTTAAATTAAACATCATCTAAGCAACTCAACTTTTTGCAAAACGTAGTTAAATCTTATAATGCCTGTATATACAAAACATTTCAAAGAGTAGTCATTCTCTAGCAAATTTATGTCTGTAGCATTTAAAAACAACCCAAAGATTGATCTTTTTAGACCTTATCAATGTAGGAATAAGAGTGGTAGGAGCTGTATATTAAGATAATCAATTGTTGTAGAATAAATTGGTCTTTTCAAAAATCTCGTCATAAATTATCTAGTCCTGCAGTGTTCAATATGGTAGCCACTAGCAACAAGTGCAATTTAAATTTACACAAATTAAAATAAGTAAAGTTAAAAATTCAGTTCCTCAGCTACACTAACCATATTTCAAACATTTAATAGCCACATGTAGCTGGTGGCTATAGTTTTGACCAGCACAGGTTTAGTACATTTCCATCATCACAAAACTGCTATTGAAAGTGCTGAATTCTACCTCTCGTGCCATGTCCCTATGCATGGTCTATGTCATGGGTAGAATCAAGAAAATATGTACAGCACTTGATATTCTGTACCAAATGCTGATAATTGGATAGCATTTCTTTTCCTCTCTGTAAGTTAATGAACGCAAAATACTTTATGGCCCAAGGTGTCTCATTAAACAATGAAAGTTAACAAAATGAGGGGTGGAGATACTTAGAATTATATGTTGAGTTCAGTGAAGCAGTAAAATATGATATATTTTTCAACTCTCCATTTCTCCTTTGTGTTTGGAAAGAAGGTAATGGAAAACAGTATATATTTTAAAATATTTCTTACACTAAATAAAATATTACAAAAGGAAATTTTTAAGGTAAGTAAAGATTAGAAGGTCATTGAAGCAAGATACCTGATAGAGTGAAATGCACTTTACCAGGAAAAAATACTTTTTCTTCCCATATTCCGATATTTAGTTCTTGCAAGACTTAAAATGAATGTGCTTAAATGTTCAAAGTCATCAATAATAAGTCAGTAATTTTTTTTTTTTTTGTATCTGAGAACTTGCTATCTAAGAATTTCAAGGTAATATATTGTCTTACTGGAAAACATTTAAAGAAGAAAAAGAAAAAGAAAGAAAGAAAGAGAGACAGAGAGAGAGAGAGAGAGAGAAAGAAAAAGAGAAAGAAAGAAAGAAAGAAAGAAAGAAAGAAAGAAAGAAAGAAAGAAAGAAAGAAAGAAAGAAAGAAGGAAAGAAGGAAAGAAGGAAAGAAAGAAG